ACTTTAAGATCATACCCATATTCGGCAGCTTCTCACCCACCACCTGCTGTCTATCCCGCACCATCTTCTTATCCCACAGCCTCGCCTCATTCACCATATTATCCATCATCTTCTTATCCCAAAGTCCCACCCCCTTCAGCAGCATATCATCCAGCATCTCCTTATCCCCCTCAATCGGTTGCTTATATACACCTTACTCATAAGCTTCAAAATAATAACCTAATTTCAGGACTTCTCTATGACATATTTGTGATTGCTATGCTTAAATTGTTTAATATTTGTAGAATCTGGAAATTATGTAAACGAAGCTTATGTTTTGTGTCTGTACTATATAGGAGCATTCCCCAGCGAAATGTACAGAATCTTTTTGTCAGATAGGCTCCACCGGCTTTGGTATGTGCCTCATAGTCAAATGTAGAATCACAGGATGATCATTCGTTTTTACATGGAACACTTTAGATTGTACTTTTGCGATTTCTACAGCCTGTTAGAATTGTTGAACAAAACATATATATATATTTTTGGGAATCCTGCCTCTTGGCCACTGAATTTGAATTAATCAAATAAGTTTTTTTGTTTTCTTAATATTATGATGGGAAGTAACTTTTCCTGTAGTTTGATTGGTCGAGAAGAACTTCAAATGCTATGAACTTCTCTTGGATGCTTGTAGAAGGACTCGAGTATCAACACATATGGTGATATCAAAACTAGAAGCCTAATTAGACTTGGTTCATACGTCGGTTATTTTACTAAAAACGGTCAGCTCAACACCGATACTAGAAAAGGAACCTAGAATTACTAAGTACCTAAGAAGAGAGGACTCCTCTCAAATACAAAGTATCTAGAGAATCATAAATAACGGAGACTCTCCCCTGACAAAGTAAAGAGAAGTGAATATATTAGAAATAAGGCATATTCAAAGAAGTTCTAACTTAACACAAGAAATTAAATAGCCTAGATGAAAAGGATAAAGTACCAAAATGTGGTATAGATGTATTTGCACCAAAGCTTGGAAATTGATAAGTGTGACTAAATCAACCTAGTTAGATTTTACATTTGATAGCGGCCGCGTTATACTTCTTAACCGGAGCGGTAATTTGAGCTATTAGTAATTCGTTGATTGATGGTTTCAATCAATACTTATAAGACATTATTATTCTGAGTATAGAATCCTCCTCTTTTTCCACCATGTAAGCCTCTTGACGACGATCGAAATATATTTTAATCATCTTAGATAGTTCTCTTTTTGAGCAAGAATAATATGACAGATTTCTCCAATTTTGCAAGGATTGGCTTTGTTGATTGTCTGCTAGATCTGTCCTTAAAAGACTATTCATTGAATCATGAGCACTCAGGTAGAGCACAACAAAACCAGTCAAAAAGTAGGCAAGTTACTCAAAGTTTAATCACACTAATTAAAGAACAAATAAATAAAAACAATTTTAAATATATTTGAGTTCTTGAAAAAAACACAATTAGTAGCTGAAAATAATGTATAATTAGTTCGAGTGATTGACACTGACATAATTTATATCTCCTATTTCATTTGAGAAGTTAAAGCTCATTATATTTGGGAAATTCAACAACTTGTATTACATTTTATTTTATTTTTTTCTTTAAAGTTACTGGTTGATACTTGAAACTTAAAAAAAAAGTTCAAAGGCGCCGACAATATATAATATTATATCATGAGCATAATTTAGAAGGAGAAATTTTTGCCTAATTTCTTTCTATGCCAAAAGAAAATGAGCCCAATTCAATTGGAATTCGACACGCTATATAGTCTAGCTATTTGTACTCCTCTTCCACAAATGCAATGTACTATAGGAAAACAACATCCCATTCTTGTTTTGGTCTCTAGGAACAATGTTACCGTTACAAGAAGGTGCCCAAGTATCTGCACAACTATCAATAAAAACCCAACACATGCTTTGTGGCGCAGTCGCAGAATCAAAGTTAAAAGAACTATTTTTCTTTTTTTTTCTTTTTCAAGCCGCTCTTCTTCTATTTTTTTTTACCTCAGATGGTGTAGCATCATCACCGTTAATGTTATTTTTTGGCTTCTTGCGCTTGCCACCTGTTTTCAGGAAATAATCGACCGAATTCTCTGACCTAAATTTACCCCCAGACACCGGTTCAATATTGTAACGTCATGCAATTTGAAATAACTATGGAGAAGCTTGAAATTGGAAATAGTCATTTTTGGATAAATTCCGAATCTGGAAATTTGGCTAAGTATGGAAAAAAATGAGTTTTTGGTCAACTTTGAACAGTCATAACTCCTAGATCAGGATGATTTAGGTGCAGTTCCAGTAATTTTTGGAAATCCCTTGGAATTATCTTTCCAACGCCGTCGAGTTTGCTGGATTCCGAGTTTGTATGAGTGAGTTATGCCCTTTGGAAGTTGGGTTGTTGGCAGGGCAGTTAGCCCGAATTTGTAAGGGTATTTTTGTCTTTTCCCTAGCCATTTTGTTTTGGTTATATTGAGGTGTAGACTGATTTTAAATCAGTTTTTCCCTTTTAAAAGTGAGAGTTAGGGCTTTTTGAGAGAAGAGAGAAAGAAGAGGAGAAAGAGAAGAAGAAGCAAGGATTCGTCAAGATTGTCGTGGATATCGTCGGGGGTGATCCCTATTGAGGTATGTGAGATCATAGTGTTGGGTTGGTTCATTCCCCCACATGCCAAATTCGTTTTAAATTCCGAGAAAAGATTGATTGTGTTGTTGAAGTTGTGGTTGTGGTTTTGTTGTTGAAGTTTCTTGTTGATTTGGGACATGTTTTCGGTTGTGTTTGTGAGTTGAAATCTATTGTTTGTTGAGGGATTTTATGATTCTAATTTTTTAGGGCTGGAACCATTGAAGTTAAGGAGGTTTAGAGTGGAAAAATGAAGGAGAAAAGTCGAGTTTTCTAGGGAAAGGGGTGGCGCGTTACGCCTTCTAGCGCCCCCAAAAGGGACTCTGAAGTCCAGCCCTTGGGGCGGCGCGCCTAGCAGAGCGCCCAGCAGGCCCCTCTGAACGCCAAGGATGCCAAGTTTTCCCTTTCACTCCCTACTTTTTCATACATTTTCCTTGGTTATGTACCTATGTTTTATAGTTGTTTTCAACAGTCTAAGGTACATCTAAACATCACGAATTCATCCATAAACATGAGATCATTACCCTCGAATCCATACTCCAATTCGAGGAAAGTTAGGATCAAAATCAAGTGAAGTTAGAAGTCAAGTTTAGGAGTTAAAGAAGCAAGTCAAAGTAAGTCTTTAAAGTTTTTCAAGAGTCTTTATTAAACGTTTTAACTTCGTTTTAAGGCTCAAGTTCAAGTTAAGCCAAGAGTATAGAGTTGAGTTCATTTCTCAAAGGTTATTAGGGAGCTATGTATTCCCAAAGAAGTTTCTAAATGTTTTTACATTTGAGTAAGAAAGGAAGTACGATTCCAAAAGAGCCTTTGGGCTAGTTTTCAAGAAAAAGGAACATCGATTCCAAGTGAGCCTTTGGGCTAGATTTTGAGCAATTATATCAAACTAAACAAAGATATGTTTAAAACAATTATGAGCTAAAGTATTTTGGGAGTAGTATTGAGCACCGAATTGGGGATGCGAGTTCATATTTACTCAACTCTCCATAAGAACCATGTAGCCAAACATGGGAACTAACGGGTCATTCTTTTAGATGATCACGTAAGATTAAGCTAGTGGATCCACTAAGTTAAGTAAGGTCCTATATCACGGCAAGGTATAGGATGGTCCTTGGGCAACGTGAGGTAAAACGTTGTATCATCACTAGGGCTCATAGTGGTGGTTGTCGGTTAAAGAATCTCCCACTAAAGTTATATTAATTTATATAAGTAAAGTTGAGTTTGTTATTGCTTTAATCATTAACGAACTAAGTTGTTTAAATCG